ATATATATATATATATATATATATATATGTATATACATATGTACGGTTCATACAAAATGAAAAAAAAAATTAGAATAATTAAAAAATAATCGAATGTGTCATTATTCCTTATCTTTCTTTTTTAAACATAAATATATGTATATAATTATAAAATACACATGCATACATTACATACATACATATATACATCTATACATTCATACAATAGATACAATTTGAAACGATATAAATAACACGTGTAAATCAAATTTGAGATATAAAAATGTAATTAATGATTTTTATGTTGAACATAGACGAAATTATAACATAAAAATATATTTATAAAATAATAATAATAATAATAATCGTATAAAGGGATAATATAACAAAGAAATGTTTTCTCATCAAAGCTATGCTTAAACTTCTCTCAATCCCATAGGATTTACTTTCCTTACTTATCTTCCACCATAGGTCGCTATAATATGGCGTAACGAAATTCTTGATTAATATATATATATATATCGTACATTCTTCTTTCTCTCTTTCTCTCTTTCTCTCTCTCTCTCTCTCTCTCCCTCTCATATCTGCCATGTTAATTTTGTCTACTAATTTCCCATGGCTCCGTTGCTAGCATTCTCGATTTTACTTAACAAACGTATATTTCATTTCGAAGATGAATTTTAATCATTCTTACGAATTCTTACTCTCATTACATTTATATATATTTAATTACAATATAATATAATTAATTTACAATATATATATATATATATATAATATATTTAAAATAAATATCATCATCAAAAAAAAAAAAAAGAAATCAATAACTTCAGTGAAAAATAAAAAATAAAAAATTTACACACATGTATACATACATATATATATATATATATACTATATAAATATATATACCTGTTTTATTTAATTTTTAATTCGATGTTTACCTGTACGAAAAAGAGTTCTCGTTTGAAAAAAAAAAGACATAAAAATAAAATATAAGAATAAATAAAATTGAAGAATGTCTTTGTATACAAAATTCGCCTATCTGTGTGTTGTGTGTGCGTATTTTCAAAGCACAACTAATATAAACTTAAAAGTTTTTAAATGGTGTCCATATCAATTTGATTTTTCTTCTTCTTCTTCTTCTTCTTCTTCTTTGTATTTTCATTTTTTCGTTGTCTTCGTTTGGACGACAAAAAAAAAGTTATTGTCACATACAACCACAAGCTTCTACCACCATGTTAGGCAATGTCTTCTGTTTTATTGTGCTGTTAGTGTCGATGTATAGTAATTGCATCGGTGAAAATTGAGTTGGCGAACAACACGGTACAATCTCATCTTCGCGATGCACCAGATTCCATTTCTGTAATAACCCAGAATATATATATATATGTATATACATGCATTTTTATTTTGTTCATATTTTTTGTTTTAACTAGACAATGATTTTTTATTTCTTTTTTTTTTTTTTTTGCGAATTTTGATGGAATTTTTAGAAAGGAATTTAACCTTATAATGAACATAATTGCAAATTTATGATATTTAAATAACAAAATTGTTATATTTTCCTGATGTTATATTTATTCATATTTAATAGACAATTTTAGACAGTTAATAGACAATGTTTCTATTAAATTTTGTTATTTGTTTCATTTTTTTTTATTTTAAAATTTAATTTCTGAATATTATTCAAATTTACGTTAAAGATTTATTTAAATTACTTTTTTAGAAAGAATTGATTAATTTATATGATGTAAGTTGAAACGATAATGGTGTTATTTTTATTTTATTAAATTATCAAGAGAAGAAAAAATAAATTTGATATATGATATTTTTATATTTTATATTAAATTATATTATATATGATATTTTAATTAATGTTTTCAAATATTTTAATATAGTTATGTTATATATATATATATATATATATATGATATTTTATATTTATATATTATTCATTTTTATTTATGTTCAAACTAAGGGTGTCGTTTTAAAGGGTTGACAAGAATATTATCTTTGCTTTTTTATTTTTTACTTTGGAAAAAAAAAATGTTAATTAAATGTTTTCAGATAGTTATCTTTTTCCATCTTATTAGATATTACGAAGGATAGAAGGACTTGACGTATATAACAGAGTTTTATGTTCCAAGATAATGGAGTCTTAGCTTGCTATTATCGTTACGAGTTGCAAACTATATTGCCCACATTATAGTATAGTCAGTTATAAGGTTACTCGTACTTTTCTTCAAACGACTTTTATTAACAATTAATGCTACTAAGAAACGTTCATGATATTGCATATACATTAGATGCATTGCGTATATACACACACATATATATATATATATGGTTTTATTATACTTTGTGAAAAAAAAGTTTTATCTGCAGAATTCTTTTTCTTTTTACGTCAATTCGTGAAATATCTTTTTGATGTTACTTTTTAATATTGTTACTTAATCATAAAATAAATTCTTTACAATTCTTTGAGAATTAAATAGTATTTTAGTGATGTTAAAAAAAAAAGGTAGAAAGATATAATAAAAATATGAATTTAATTAAATTAAATTTTTGAAACAGAAAACAATAAAGGTAAAAATAAAGATAATAAAAAAAATGCAATAACTAAAAAATGATTAATTTAAGAATTTATGAAAAATAAATGATTGCAATTGAAAACAGTATTTAGTAACATATTCACAAGTAATAAATATAAATTAAATAAAAACAAACACACGAATACGAAAAATGTATTACAAAAATGAATAGTATAGAAACATTAAAGTATAAGCAATAAATATATAATAAATATAAATAAATAAATAAAATAAAAATTAATATAAAAAATTACTAACTCTAATAACGTCGTTATAGTTGTGATACACTAACAGTATTTAATATTCAAGTAATGAATATAAATTAAATATGAACAAACACGAATACGAAAAATGAATAGAATAGAAACATTAACGTAAGCAATAAATATATAAAATAATAAATAAAATAAATTACTAACCCTGATAACGTTGTTATAATGTGATCCACTTAACGTCAAGGATGCTACCGAGGTGCATGAACCCCTGCAAAAATATGCATGATAACCGCTAGGATGTAATATCCAATCACCCCAACCGATATCTTGAAAGTCGATGAACAATTCGTCGCGACAACATTCCTTCATTTTTGGCATACAATTAGAATTTCTTTTGGGCCTGTTTTCTTGTGGCAATGGTGACGTGTGTATCACCAAAAAGGGTTTTAACGTTTGTTCGATTGATACAGGTGCAGTGTCACGATCGATTGAACAGGTGCTGCAGGCTATTTGCATCGCGTGGTTCAACTGATGTTTTTCCACCCACTTTCTCACCGTAAAACCCACGTCCGTCTTTACCCAACCCTCTAAAAAAGAAAAGAAAAGAAAAGAAAAGAAAAGAAAGTAATCAAAAGATAGAAAAAACAACAACAAGATTGTGAAACACGTAGAACCTTTTCTTCCATCTATTCCTTCTTTTATCTTCTGTTTTTTTTTTTATTTGTTTTTTTGTTATTTTGTTTTTCTTTTGTTAGTACTATGAACTACTTTCTTACTTTTCTACACGTTTTCTCCATTAGGATTTCTAATTATCTACTTAGAGAGGTTGGGGATGGCTAAGATAGGAGTAAAAGATAAAAGATAAAATTGTATGTTTTCGTTTTTAAAGTGCATACGATGGATAAAAGTATTGTTTTAATGTTAGGTGATATGTTATAGGTAATGAAAGGTATAATATAATTAATATATAATTTAAATAATATATAATATAGTAATATAATATATATAATAAATACTTTATATAATTTAATATAATTTCATTACATTATATATTATATTAATTATTATTATTAGATTATATTTTATTTAATTATATTACATATCATACAATTGATCAATGATTAATTAAATAAAATAAAAAAAAATATATATAATAAATAAATAAAATAATCCGATACACACACACACAATTGTGTTTTGTTTATATTCTTCCAAAAGAAATAATTTGAATTCACATGTATTATTGAAATTTAATTGATTTCTATTATTCTTTGTATTAATCATGCATAATTGACGTTCAAAGTATAAAATGATAGATATTAATTGCATGCATATAAGTTTATTCAGTTTTCCTCCCCCCCTATTGAAAGCAAAGTCCTTTTAACGAGTAAATATAATACATCTGGCATACGTGACAAACTATAGTCATTAAATACGGTCGTATAATAACACGATACGAGAATATCAACGCAATGGTAATATATATATATATATATATATATTTTTATTTTTATTGTTTTTATTTTTTTTATCCGTGTTACTTTTCTTCTAAAGTCTAAAGTCCGATCGTTAGGTAAATCTGCCTTAAACTAACTTGTTGTTGTGATGGTTTTAATATCTTAATCGGTTTGTGTATATATATATATATATATATAT